CGTCGTAGTGGACCTTGCCGCCAGGCGGTTCCCAGCACCCGGAGTTGCTGTCGCGAGCAGAACGCTGGAGAAGAAGTATGGAACAGGCTGGCGCATATTTGTCGAGGATAATGACGTTGACCCGCAAGTAACAGATGAGTCCCTCGAGGAAGAACATGTATCCGGGGTCCCTTGTGATGGAGAAAGAAGAGAGTTCGGTATCAAGGTTAACACATTCAAGTCTTCGTACATCCATCATCACTGTTGCTCCAAAAGTGTAAGGCAAAAAGCAGGGCAGAGATAAATAACAAAATAGATGCAAGAGGCTATAGCGCTTAAGTAGTCAAAATTATCACTGCTGTGCTCATTGCCCAATAGCCGGATTTTATAAGTAAATCCGTGAGCTCTGTCACGGCTTCGACCACACACCCATCGGTATGTTCCAGTGCACCCTAACTACAGAAAATACATTTGGACGCCACGCAACTGCCATAGAAAAACAAACCCCTGATCTGCTTACTACCTTCTACTACTCAAGCTCCTAAATCTCTTTCATTCCCCAACCCATCGCCTATGTCTTGCGTACGAACAACTGCATTTCCCTGTTCACCTTTGTACATTAGAATCGTGTGTGTATTTATTTTATGGGTCGGAAAACCAACCTCATTTGTAATGAAATTCCTCTTTATCGATGCAAAGGTCGCACTCCCTACATGGGGAAGCTAGATGTTGGGTTCGTGTTGCTTTATATTTGGCAGGCGTACAGAAAACCGGGCCACAGGGAATCAAGCCTTCGTACTTCTTGCCGCATGGCTTGTGAATGTCAATTTGTATAAAGCACATGTTGCGATGAGACAGGAAATAACAATTGAGAGCTGATGGAAGTAGCACAGGGTGATCAATGCTCAGAATATATACATCCACCGCCGAATAAGTGTGACCATAGAACGCTCACAGGATAGAAAGAGGAAATTAAAAAGAGATTCAATGATTGGGTCGCTTGCAAATAGCGTAATCTTCCAGTAACTGTAGACCACGCTTGGACTCGCGCAGCTTTCTTTCTTCTATTATCCGCTGGCAGTTCAATTGAAAGCAAGAGGTATACTCGAAGAAGAAGGTCACATTATGTTCCCCAAAGTGCTTTTTAGTGAAAGGGGACTTTTTTTTATGGTGAGGACACTCGATGCGACTACTATCAACTATATTGTTGGCTTTCCAAAACCTGGATGGCAGCTGACTTTTGAGGTTAGGTCTAGCTTTTACGTCGTCATGCTATTCGATGTTAAAGACAACACAAAAGAACTAATGCCTTCTGCGTGGATTTAATTGAAACCCAAAATTTCGGTACAGGAGAAAGAATAAACGGACGTCTTTACTCCGCACAATGCTTTGAGATCTTGTAGTTCTCTAATAGCTGTCCGCCCCGCTTTGACCCGAGCAACTTTTCCTCCGGAAGTTTGAACTTCACGTCCCAAGATAATTGGACAGGTTCTCCGCCGGAGTTGAGATATTGTACACTAACCTCACGCACAATCGTGTACTCTGCATTGACGTCTTGCGAAATCTGGTGTCTTATGTATGCGTCGACCTGAACCGTTCTATCATTTAGCAGAGAGGCTAGAGGATCTATTGAGGGGTGAGCAATCTGTGGCTACATGTATCAGGTAGGGGCAAACCTTGGGAAGGAAATTTGCGTGACCAGCCAAGGCAACCGAAGACGGACGACATAGTTGTGAGAAGGGAGTGCATAACTTCGGACGGCAGTAAAAAGAAATCTGATCCCGGATGAGGCGAGTACGCGAGACCAGGAAGGTAATATGATGCAGTTAAATAAACCAGGCCTCCAAGCAGATACCATGCAGCCTGCAGGTAAAATATGAATCTGTTCCAGTTGATGGAGAAGGTATATCGCAGGTTATTACTGGCGCGTTTGAATCTATTCTAACAAAGTCAATCATCTTTTTAAACTAGTGGTACTCTCATATGATCCTGCTTAAATTAGTACGTCGCTAAGATGAGGTTGGGAACCACGTATGCTATACAGCTACGATCTATCAGATGCAAAGATGAATGTTTGCCTTGGATCCACTTGCTTTGAACCTCAGACTAATCCTCTTTAGTCGAATCCTTTGGAAGGTCAAAAGGATTCGACTAAAGAGGATTAGTCTGAGCTAGTGTTGATGCTGATCCATATGCACCATAGCTACTTATCACCTGTTAAGTTACTTGTAAAATTAAATGTAGTACACGACCTAACCATCCTAGGTGTATTGCGTGGCAGGCCGACATTGCTTATACCTCCCTGAAATAGAGATTCCATTCCACATGGGGTTGGTTCCACCTATTTCGGTTGACTCGGCAAATGTGTGTTAAGTTAGTTAACTAGTTCGTGCTCAATATGGTGTACCAGCTATTGGGGCATTACAATGATCAGAATTAAATCAGATTTGGTATCAGGTTTTCAAATAAATGTTGATAAAACTGTTATGGGAACATCGGCTGTTTATAACTTCCCTGACGGATAAAATATTTGCCACAAACAACCCCATCCAATCATTTTTAGATTCAGAAATTTACCCCATCCTTCTTTCTGTTGACATCCGTATCACGTGATGTGGGCATCAACGACCTGGGCGCCTTCAGCCTCAGCTCACCTACGGCTTGGGTGACCGACGATTTTCTCATTCCTGTATACCACGCCAGTCAAAACGTCTTCTGTTGCATTTTTATTCCCTCGGGTCGCCTTATATTTCCTTCGTTTAAAATATCCATATACACTTCTCCTTTCAGGTGGAATGCCGACACTCAAAAATTCAGACATCATCCGAAACAAGCCAATCGGCGAGGGATTAGATGCATTTCGCGACAGCCTAACGTCAGCGTGTAGAGATGCTGGTTTTCCATGCTCCATAGATTCCGTGCGCCAAATAGACACCGAAGGTAGTAATTCTTGAAATTTACAAGCTATTTCTAACTTTACCTAGTTATCCAAAACCTGATCCTTGATTTGATATTGGCATTACAAGCACTTCCAGCTTCGCGCTCATTACCTTCCAGCAGTGGGGGCAGAAACCTCTTTGGTGACTTATCGAGACTAAGTGCAACTATTAATTCCGATGAATTTGCCACCGAACGGCTCATTCCAGCTCTTGGTGCGATCCTGAACAGAGAATCAGACGAAGTCATTTGGGACAAGGTCTACGCTGTTGCGACAGAATCAACTCCTCCTCCACGGCCGTTACCTCTACTGAACCAGACACCGTACTTGCACACCACAAGCAGTCTCGTTAACTCTTCTGAGCGCCGAAAACATGTTGATGAAGTACTTAGGGAAGAGCTTGGTTCAATTCACATTGGCGTCCCTGGCTTCTTCGAAGCGTACTTTGGAGGAATTGATGGGCTGGATAAAGACAGCGCTGCTGTATTTCAGAAATGCAAGCAAGGAGATCCACCTCTTTTCGTGGAAGGAGAGGGCTGGCGGGGCTGGCCTGAAACTGCCAAGGAAAAAGAGGTGCTTGTCTGGCTTACTACACTCGTCAATGCTTTTCACGATATTGCGATCGAGGAAGGCCTGCCGATGCCAAGTCATCGTACGCTTTTATCACAGCCCGATCAACCGTTACAAGGATCTACGGCAGAGCGAAAGCTGGACATTGGTTTTACATGTCAATCCGGTCTAAACGATCGCTCTAGGTATCATTGGTCACATGTTTTAGTATTGGGCGAGCTGAAGAGTAATCCGAACGCCGATACAGCCTCGAGGACGTGGCGTGATTTAGGGCGTTATGCAAGGGAGGTTCTTACCACCCAGGACACTCGTCGGTTTACCTTGGGCTTTACATTGTGTGGGCCCAATATGCGACTCTGGGAGTTTGACCGCGTGGGGGCAATGGCATCCTCCTCCTTTGATGTCAACAAGGACGGGCTTCAATTCGTTTCAGCAATTTTGGGCTTTCTTTTGATGAACGATGAGCAGTTAGGATATGACCCCAGCATCATCTCCACTTCGAGTGGTACAAAGTACATAGAGATACTGCGTGATGGACGTTCCGAGCGTCTTATCCTTGAAGGACTTATGAAGAGATCCGCCTGCGTTGCTGGAAGAGCTACGACTTGCTGGAAAGCCCGCCGTGAAGGGGACGACACAAATGTGCCGCTTGTTATTAAAGATTCATGGCAGTACCCAGAGCGAGAAGAAGAAGGCGAACTTTTACGAGGAGCAACGGAGAAAGACGTGGTGAATGTGGCAAGGTACTATTACCATGAAACCGTCCAAGTGAACGGAAGAGTCGATAATATTTGCGACAATGTTCGGAAGGGACTGGATCTGAGACAAGCAACAAATTTCAGGCCGTCGCGATACGAACTTCCTTCAACTGCACATGATACGTCACGAATAGGAAGGATTGATCGTTCCGCAAGCACTACCGGCCGGAAGAGGTCATCTAGTCAAACTGGTGCAATATTGCCACCAAGGAAACGCCCTTGCTCGAGCTCGCCTTCCAAAGGTGTGCGCAACAATAACATACAGGATAGGGTACATCGTCGAGTGATTGTCTGTGATTATGGAACTCCCATATATAGAGCAACATCACGTGTTTCACTACTATGTGCACTTAAGACTTGTATAGAAGGTAAGAATAATTGGTTGATTCCTAGATCTTGTAGCTAACTGATACAGGCTATCAATCTTTGCATACAAAAGTAGGGCTTTTACAAGGTGACATTTCGACTGGGAACCTTATTTTAAATGAAGAAGTAGGAAATCCATCGTGGCCAGGGTTCCTTATCGATTTGGATCTTGCTATCAAGGAACAACGAGAACGGTCATCCGGAGCCAGAGGAAAGACTGGGACAAGGGCTTTCATGGCGATAGGTCTACTCTTTGGCGAGCAACATTCATTTAGGCATGACCTCGAATCCTTCTTTTGGGTACTATTCTGGATATGTATTCACTACGATGGCTCAGGCAAGGAGGTTGAGCCCACTGATTTCGACTGTTGGAATTATGAGGATGACAGAAAGTTGGCTCGCTCTAAGCAAGGTATCGTTGCTGATGAAGAGGATTTTCTTAAGATTGCTGGGGACTCATTCTCGTCACACTATAAACCATTGGTTCCTTGGGTCAACAGATTACGGAGAGTGGTGTTTCCGGGAGGTGTACGAAGAAAGGATGACGATGCACATCTTTATTCTCAAATGAAAGATATCCTTCAGGATGCAACTAGTGATCCGAAGGTGGTAGAGTCATAGGTAAAATATAATCAACAAGGTATCACATGTAGTAACTATGAGCCCAATCCATCGAACCATTTCAGAACGTCCCTTAACGAAATGAAGTGGACACTCTTTGCTCTCAATCAATACCTATGGCAAGACAGGGAAACGCCTGGTACATCCCCCAGGGAAAGAGGTAATCACAATGATGGCAATCAGACAATTGGCTTTTGGGCCTAATACTGCTGAAAAATGATACCAGTTGAATTGTTGTGATGTCAGGGGAAAGGGAAAGAAGGGCAGATCGAGGCTGTATTAGTATTTTATGGCCGTGGTTCACCGCCGAAGCATGTGACCCACCATCCCCTATTGGGGGGAAGGCCGCCAGGGGTTAAGCCCTGGGTGTCAAGAACTAGTTACAAAATGTATAAACTCTATGGCGCGTTTACATAACATAGCTGCCATGGTCCAAGATTCAGCCTACATACGCAGGTGTGGGGCGCTTAATACCTAACCAACACAATAGGGTGATGGCCCTGGGTGGTGAAGATAGTGCCAGCTTCGGGGATCGAACCCGCGCGACAGTATGTCCACACTCTTTCCCAAGGGGTGTATTCATCACGCGGATGCCTGGCGGCCAACTTCACCATTCGGCCAGCACTGACAAGAGCACAATTCTGCACTACTGTAAAGGGAATGTTGCTGACAGATCGGATATTCGGATCACGTGGCTATCTGGCCCAAGAGCTCTGGGAAACTCAACGTTTCCCCTCCATTTTTGCCCCTCCATAAAACAATATGATTTCCCCATATTCTCCAACCAAGTCAACAAATAGGTGTGCTCAACAAGGATAAAAACATTCGCGAATACGTTAGTTTTACTTACCTTTTACTTTTAGTCTCAAGAGTCGCCATATATCGTATCCAGGAGATTACGTTCGTCTGGATTAATATCGCCGCCATGAATTACCCACTGCCTGCTACAGCTGAGGTCCTCCGAAAGCGAATAAAAGAGATGATACCTGAGACGAGACCTGCCGATAGCAAGTCTCCTGTAGCGACTATACTCGCGGAGGATGACAATGGGAGCACGAGATATGGGGGTAAGGAACTCCACAATCTGGTCTCAGGTTTGGTTAAGGAAATGAACATTGGGAGGGTAAGTGTGATTGGGAACGGATGTGTCAAATTGTATGCTTATTGAATGTTTAGGGCTGGGGTTGGAACCTGGGACATTTCCGGGAATCTCAACCTATAATAAACGACCTCTCACGGATGTATATCGTACCGCTTTGCGATAATACAAGTATAACGCCTGGAGGCCCTCTAAGGGAAGGGTTTTATACATATATTACGGATAGTCCCTCAGTCAGCTCAAACGCAACCGCCATATTTATTGCTCCAATATGATTGAAAATATCACATGGTTCGAATGATATCGGTGGTTGGTCATACTATTTTTTTTTTTTTCAAACTAACCTGTAGAAATACCTGTGGTGGAGGGGAAGAGGGCCAGAAGAAAAAGTATACATTAGTCATGCAGAGGTTCAAAACACAGAAACAGTTTGAGCGTATTGTCCATACTGGTATGGTCTCTTGCTTGATTGTTCCCCAGGCATAGTGCGCATGAGAGGTATAGCTGTGTTACTTTGCTGGAAATTGGGCAGTTCACCTGTAGTGCATTGTTCTAGGCAGCTCCGTGCTGCAATGGTGCCTTCATCAAGAGGTCTTTGCATCAGACCAGTAGGGCCCGACGTCACTCCGGGCTCATCCTGGCAGTTAACAGTACCCTCTTGAGCTGTTGAGTGCCTACTCTGTGGTATATCAAAGCAGCGAGTCATCACATTCACATTCAACCCTCCATGGCCAGGAGAAGGTTCTAGTGGCGCAGCATTGGTCATGTGTTGCTGGCTGATATTGCCGTTCCGCGGATTGCTAACCTGCGTACAATACATACCCTCAATTTCCAATAAGTTCATGCCATGTCGATTATTAAAGCTAGTTTGATGCACGGTACCATCAGATACGCTGGGGATGTTTTCCAATTCAACCGGAATGATGCCGTGTCGAGGGTTGAATCCGTAATTCTGTAGGTTGGTTTCTGCCATATCAGGCAGGTTTTCTGTTTCAACCGGGGCAATGCCAATTCGAGGGTTAAAGCCGGTGTTCTGCCCAGATTGCAGGCCAGAGAGTCCTCCTGTTTCAATTGCAGTAATGCCATATCCAGGATAAAAGCTGACATTGGCCGCGTCATCACCATGCACGCCAGTGGCGCTTTGCATTTCGATTGGAATGATGCCGTGCCGAGGATTAAATCCGTGATCAGATAGGTTCACGGCGTCAACCGG